GTCGGTTTTCACACCGTTACGTCAAAGATCTAAAGTAAATTTTGCCAGTCATCGAAATCGGGTGGGCTCCACAACATAAGAACATAAGATCAAAGCCGCAATCATTACAAGCCAAAGAAACAAACTAACTTTCGAACTGCTCACCAATGGTTGACGTTGGGTTACACAATATAAGCCCTCTTCACTGAAACTCGGTCTTCGATACACAATGACATTGTTCGGGAACAAGCCCAAACTACAACACATTCTATTGGACGGAAGACAAACTATCAACTTCAGAAACCACCTGATTTAGTGTAAATTGTGAACAAATATCACCTCCACCCTTGCATTTAGTTTTTGTGCAACGGAATAAAGTGTGTAAAAACTTCTTTAAATAACCTACTACGGAAGCATGTTGATTAGCACGTCCTATTTTTTCACCTGCCATTGTCGTGTATCACGTGTGATGCTTACATGGAAGGGGGTAGAAATGCTATAGATGAAAAGACGGTTGGCGCTATAAAAGAATTCTAAGACGACGTCCGACCAAAAAAATAGACTCACTTAATAAGCTCAGCGATTCGTTCCTGGACAGCCGGATCCAGCGGATCAGCATGCTCCAACTGGCGCAACTCATTGGCCCTTGCCTGCATGCCTGTTCTTTGAAGATCAAAAATTCGCTGGAAAGCCGCTGTGGGTGATAATGAGAAAGTCCGTCGGTAGATGATAGAGTGAAGTTTCATTAAAATGACAGCAAAAAAGTATTTGGGCAATCTTCTAGGAGGTTGTATGGAAAATTAAAATCATATTGGCCTTTAACCAGAAATTTACTAGCAGTGTTATCTTCTGGACAACGAAACTTTCGGCAGCGATACGCTTAAACCGTTCAGATAGAAAATATACCTGTCCAAAAATGTAGGCCTATAAAGCGAGTCCCGTGAAGGAAGATGCAAAAAAAGCAAAATAAGACTGAAATTTTCGAAAGATGTAACATGACGACTGGAGGAGCCGTATGAACCTTCCAAACAATTTTCGTTCATTAGAATTACGGCAAGCAATTGAAAATGCCTTCCTTACGGTATAAAAGTACAGGAGGACCAATCAGGTTAGAAGCAAATCTTTCCTGATGACGAAGTAAAGTGACTGACTGAGAGTATGAAAACTAAAATTACAAGATGAAGTTCCGACTATGGCAACAGGCTGTCAGAAATTTTATTTGCCAACTTTAAGAGCGGTCTTAACAGCCATAGGCGGAAGTGACGAAGTTCTGGGCAGTCCATTGATATTTCACAAGAAATAAAAGACCAAGCATATAAACGCATGGTCCACTAAAGTTCTAAACCACTGCAGACGTAAGAAAAGGCTAACGAAAGATAACAAGGATAGTTTTCACCAGAGACATTGCTGTTAAAGTATTAAAGGATACTTGTGCGCGTATGCAGTGAAAATACCAGGAGAAGGCTAACGTTAACGACTTTAAAAACGAGTAGCAGAAAAGATTAAATATTGGTGGAACTTTTATAATACGGACCAATTATATTCAAATTGGCGAAAAGACCTGGGTAAAACGACTTTTAGAAGCTATTAGATGGGGATACTAATGTAAACAGCGAAAACAGATTTTCAGATAGCTTTCCACATACCGGGATCATTAATGGCATCGGCCAACTCTGGATTTCTCTGTCTGAGAAAAACGATCTGTTCTGGTGGTCCTGTCAAAAAATTCTGCCTGACTGTCTCAGCTAGACTGTTGGAATGTTGAGGGGGAGCTACTGCTCCAGAAGAGGATGAGGGCGCAGAGATGGACGAGAAATC